AAGAGCCTCTGGGACACGTTTTCCCATCGCATCCTTGGGATGGAAGCTGGTTTAATTGTGGCTTCTGTGCTCTGGGATTTCCCTTGGTCTGTCCCAGAATCCTCTTCGAAGTGTGTCGGCGTTTCTGGGACGGGTGGAAGAAGTGGAGGGGAGACTGGAACGAGGGCGCTGGAAGTGAGAGAAATGGAAAGAGGAGCCGCAGGGCTGGCGTCCACCAAGTAAATTTTTTCATTTATTATGAAGCAAGCAAGTAAATGCTCTCCGGATTCCTTCAGGCCAGTTTGGATGTCCTCTCTGCTGTCTTAATCCTTGTGTATCCCTATAGTCACTCTCTGTGGAGGTGTACAGTACTCCTTTTTCTACAGAGTTCAGTCTGTCTTTTCTCTTTTTTAGTTTTTATTTTCTAGTTCTGTTCTGTCCAAGTCTTGACTTTTTCTTCGCCTTTCTTGCTTGGTTGTTTCTGGTTGATTCTTGAGGAGTTGATCCGGTTTCAAGGGGCTGCAGTACCACCACCAACAAAAAACTTTAATGTGGGGCTCAGTATTGCTGGCTATGATGGATGAGGTTCGGATATCAAAAAACAAATACATGGAACGAGATGCCAGGAGAATCACAGTTAATAAAAGTTTATTAATAAAGTCCCAGTACTTGCATTGAAGAGTTTCTTCCCCAAGATGAGTAGGGAAGCTCAAGTGGTTGAGAAATAGTTGCTATGGCAACTGCTCACAAAGGGGTTGCCTTTGAAGCTTCCGGTAAATTGACGTTCCTCTACAACAGAGGAACATGTTGAGGCTGAAAACAGTGCCCAAATGCAGGATTCGGCTGCTGAAATCTTTCTGGAGTAAAGAGAGATTGCAAGATTCCCCATGTGTACTCTGTACAGTGGGTTTTTTTGTGAGCAGATGGCAAGTTTCTGTTAATGTAACTACAATAAAGTAGATTTAGCTTATATGGTTGTGTTTCCTGTCTGGTGTACTTGGTAAGGCTGACATCAACCTTGTGAGTCTGAAAGTATATTCTCCCGCCGTCACCTATACAGCCTTATAATTTAGGGAGGGTCCCTCCTGAGCCTCTTGTTCTGTCCACTTTGGAGCTGTGGGCTACACTCCCTTTTATCTGACCATTCCCTAGGCAGCATAGGCAGTCTCCCAAGGCCATCCCACATACCATTACACCTTCCTTGCCAGCAAAAGTGTCCAGTGATTTGAGAAGGAGCTGAGTTAGGACAGCAATAGTAGTAAATGCCTCCTGGACTGAGGTGCTATTATCATCCCTGCTGAGGGAGGCAGTGGTTTGCCCCCTCCTCAAAAAGCCATCACTTAGCCTGGACATCCTGGACAAGTACTTCCTTCCATTCCCTGTAAGCAAGAGAAAGGTGTGGAAATAGACTATTTTAAGGCCTTGTGAAAGACTACGTACAAATCCACAGAGGTCCAGAATTTCTTTCTAAAAGAAGCTAGTTAATGGAAGGAGCTCAGCCTCCCCTGCTTTCAGAAGAAACCTTAGCTTACCTGGGGAGGTGACCCAAGTTGGATTCCTGGGAGATCCTCCTGAAAAGTGGCTCCCATGAGGGACTGGATCGATCTCCTCTTCCTGGGGGGCCTGCTGAGCCATCAATGGCTCCTGCACCTGGAAAACCACCCTGGTTAATGATCCGCTTTTGGATAACTAGAACTGTGTTGCTTTGCTCACCTTGCCTTTGGCCTCTCATACTGGACTTCCCCAGTCCAAGTCAAACTGACAGAACTCCGGGATTCTGCTCTCTACATGGCTGCTATTTCCAGGTAAAGGCCTGCCATTTTTATGAAATGCTT